TTCTATGGGTACCCTTTTACATGCTTATCAGGAGGTTACAGCATGTGGACTGTGTGCAAGGAATTGATACAATGCTTTGGATGAATATAGTGTAACTTATGTGACTTCAAAAATAGTATATTCATCTAAAAGGGTATATTGTAGGATTAATGTTTGCAGAGGAAGGCTGAAAAGTGTAGCAATATAATAATTATAAATAAGGCCATTGGTGAAAAACAACTAATGTATGGTTAACGTAGTTTATGCGAACGTAGAAATCTGATGAAGAATCCACGAGACCGAACTTGTAGAATCATGGTCTACTTTGTCATTAGTAATGCTACAATAATACACCTAATCCTAAAATTGTATATTTGTCATGGTGTGAAAACCTAATATGTAAGACCTTACGTGAAGTCATATCATTGTTTATTCTGACTCGCCGCACGTAACAATCTGTAATAAAATGTTTAGCGTCTCTAAAGAACACATTTAGGCTGGATATAAAACAATATGTTTAGTATGAATAAGAGAGATAAGTTACATAAGAACTACCACGCCTGAAAGGCTGACCCATGCTATGTGATTGAATTCAATAAATTGTTTCCTCTCTTTCAATTGTTGACCTTCTCTCCATGTTAGTTATTGAGTATGTATTTTTTCAGTAGTTATATGTTCAGCTACAAGAGTTGTGTGGTTAGTAACCAGTGCCACTACGAACACATCGAATCGATGTTGATGGAGTTTTATGCTATCTTAATCAGGTGATGTTTAACAGGCTATATATTCTCAAGACCACTGGTAGTAGGCAAGAAAGTGTGAAGTTTGCTTGATAACTCATTGATATAATAGTGAGCGCTTTTTGTTGAAATCATGCTTATTGTTCATACGCCGTAAACTATTTGCTGTGCTGCAAACTGTCTCTAGTTGGTTATATGCTGTAACATTATCACGCAATCTATCGCTTCACATAGTCTTACACAACATTGACAGAGCAGAAACATGAAACAGTAAAATTAACTAACGAAAGGTAATACTTTAACCAGAGTCACATAATTAAAGATCAGAAGAGGAAGACCAAAGGTCAAAAAATGCAGTTAACAGAGACCTGAATTCAGGGTAAAATACAAAACAAATATAAAAAATAAATGACAATACTATTCACCGAAATACTGTGAAACGATTCTTAGCGTGTTCTTTCCGTTAATGTGACCATATAGAACGTGATATGGCGTAAAATCCAGCTCAAGGTATTTCCATGGAGTTTTGTACTCATTGATGTAAATACGCACTGGCTAGCAATGCAAGCAGAGTCCTAACTCTCCGTGTCGTTTCTTCACTCAGCGTTTTACTCTGTCTTAAACTATGGACTATCCTGTAATATCTTTTCTTTCAACCACCGCATGCATAACTTCCAATTTTCGAGTTCCATTGCCAAACAACAAGGACAATGTCCCATAAACTTGCGGTGATTTTAAGCTATAAAGTTTCCGTAATCATAACGTCATTTTAGGTGGTTCTTACGGTGGCAGCCACATAATTACCTGGACCCTCTCACTTGTTCTGAATCGATCGAATGAAAGAAAGGTTAACAGCACCAAGCACCCTAAAATTAGTTGCAATGCTGCGCATTTAATCTGGTTGCTTTTGAGCCATTGCTATAAGTCAAATTGATTGAATAATCTAAATTCCTGAAAATAATCCAGGTGAGTCTTACTATTTTACTGGTTGATTTACTGTTTTAGTACTTAACGTGTATGTATTTTCACCTAGACTTACTTACACCTTTTACGCCCAATGGAGCATAGGCGGCCGACTAGCATTCTCCAACACATTTTATACTTGGCCTTCCCTTCTAGTCCTATCCAATTGCCGTCCATTCTTCTCATGTCTGTCTATATTTCTCGGCGTAATGTGTTCTTTGGTCTCCCTCTTCTCTTTTGGCCTTGAGAATTCCAAGTGAAAGCATGCCTTGTGACGCAACCGGGTGCCTAAATGTGTGCTTTATCTACTTCCAGCGCTTCTTCCTCCTCTCAAAAATAATGCTAACCAGAAAAACAATTCAATTTTAATTTAGACTAGCCGTATATATTTCATATGAACCACTTCCAAGGCATTTTTGGCATAAGATATATCAAACAGCTTTATACTAAAACATACTACTGTGAAAAAGTGTGTTGTAACGATTTGATCTCGAATGTAAACTGGCATGCCTAATGTAGCAAATTGTTGTTTGAGAATAAATTATTATTATTGTTATTATTACAGATGCAGTATGTTAGATTCAAAAATTATTTGACATTCCTTAGGTCCAATTACTTTTGCCACAGGTTTATAAATGTCAATAAGCTAACTACAGTAACTTCTTATGAAAAGTCTATATTATAACTCTTCATATACCTAACTGTAGTTCCACAAGTTGTCTCAACTTTAAAAAAATATTTTTGGCCAAGTCTGTTACTTTAAGTTGTTATATTCCTCACCAGCCAGTATGTTAAACTGACCGGTACATGCGTTGCATTATATCTCTATGCCTTTAAAAATCAGCAATCATTTGAATCGTTTTTAACGTTTTCGTAAAACCTGTCATGGTTATCATTGCTACACGTATTTGGATTTATGAACTGAGGTATCATAATTGCCTAGAAAGACGTTGGACATAGTTCAGATAACAAAGTTAACAAGTTAGGGTACTTTCATACTGCACTAGCATAATAACTAAACTAGTTGTTGACCAAACATTTAAAATCCAAACTCTGGAGCCTATTAATTAAACTAATACTATGTAGACGAAAATTTTTTGAGTTTCATTCAGTAATGTAATCAGGCAGCTCGGATTCGTTAATTCTACAAACTTCTGCTATTTCGGAAGCACCTAAGACAACAATACATATTTCCCACCGGCTAATCTTCAACCAACACTATAACTAGTTAAACATAATGGTTTCAGAATATCGTCATAAAGCATTGTCACGACTTGGTAATCATGTAATATGATTGATAAAACTGTTAAAAGACTGTCGACAAACTGACCTGTAATTATCACTAAGTAGTGTTTTTTTAAGGTTATCTTTGTCTATTACAGATGATTCTCAGTATGTTTCTCTATCAGTTGCTCATTCAGTGAATATCCTAATACCTTGTCAGTGTAATTGGAGGTTTAGCGACATAGTCATGCATGCAAATCACCAGTATAAGCGGTCGAGTGAACCTCCTGCAAACTGAAAATGCCACCGTCGAATTTACCACGACTCTGACTAATGTTCAAGCCGTTATCATAGACATGAGTTGGGAGTGAGCTCCCCTTGTTTACAACTTTTATGCTATCTGATAATCACGTAAGCATCACTCACACTTTGTCATCTAGTAAACATTTATTTAGCCGCACGCATGCTGCAAAACCACATTACTTATATTTATGGCACATGGGCTCTGTCGATTTCAATAATTTTTAATCGTTTTCTACTGTATGTTAAACTCTGTACTCGCAACTAAATTGTGTGCACCACCGGCCGGTAAATATTCGTATAAATAGTTGGTTTCTTGTTCATCAAAACATTTAGTCTAGATCATGTTTCTCATGGATCCACTCATATTTAATGAATTAGTGTTAGCCATCTGTCCAGAATGCAAATAACTGTCATCAGTGTCATGCATTAAATAAATTTTTGATGATTGTATTGGTGGTTTTATTAATTCCTTTCACGGGTAAACATAAACCGTATTAAACTTGACAAACTAGCTGGAACACTAGTTGAAGTTCTCTCTCCGGTTATACTTATGGCTTTCGGTTAGCCTATTAATGTAGTTGAAATTAGGGATGTACTCATACGGACAGTACACCGACGTAAAAATCAATTGCCTTTCCGGTTTAAACCAAATATAATACCAATATCAACAATGATACAATATTGGTCGTTTTCGTATTTATAAAAACACGAAATATTTGTGCTAACCACAAAGTAAACTATTATTGTAGCCCAAAGCCGCTAATCAGAAGCAGCGAATTATCGATACACTAAAAAGCAAACTGAAAATGGGCAAAAATGGATAAAAACGGATGTGATAAACTGAAAAACACCGAATAGTGTTTAGATAGACTTGTGTTTTGGTTAAATTGATTCTCAGCCGCATGATCATCAAAGCCGAAAATAAGATAACTGAGGAGATTCTTATCCAGCATTAAACATTTCGGAGAGGTCGGAAGCGGTGGAAGCGGGAACGCCTAATCGGCATGGCATGGTCCGGCCATGCAGGTGTGATCACTCTGTGTGACTTGTTACTTTTCATATTAAATATATTATTCTCTTTCGGGCCCAACCATGTTTGTCAGAGGTCCTAAACATAACCTCATTGAATGTCACGACAGGGCGAGCCAGTACAGACAATGATGTGACTTCCACGTAAGAACACCATAGCAAATCTACGATTGTGGAAGAGTTCCTTTGTTCCAGTAGCAAAGATAAGTGCACTTAATACCGACCTGGACCATGATCCGCTATTATTCGTTTTGACTTGTAGAAAGTACTATGAGCATCAGGAGAGATTATTTATCCTTTAGATGGCCTAGACATAGTTGTTATGAGCGCCGGAAAGAGAACTTTTTAAGTGTGGCAATGCGCCAGGTTAATTATCATACATCAAAATATGTCAACAGTTTGCACTAAAAGTGCTGTCTATGAGTACAGAAGGTAAAAAACAGCACTTACAATGAAATGGTATGCTAAACAACAAAAATGGTAGCAACTGTTACTTGTAAGTTCCTCCGAGGGTAACAGACACGTCAAACTGGAGATACGACACAGCAGAACGGACTATAAGCACATCTTATACTCCTTAAGAGTAGTCAAATGTCGAAATTCGCCGTTGGATGAGCTAGTCTAAGAGACTTTTCAGGAGATCTTTAAGAGAACTCATGAAATATATTTAAGGACTAAGGATAGTATGTTACTATGATTTAGCGATGTTTTTAATTTTTCCTCTTTTATCAGTAATATACTTAGGTTCATACCTTGAAGTATTGATGATCCACTCGAACTAAATATGGAAGCCTGTTAAGCTAAAGATTCTTCCTTTCAGAAGCATCTGAACCATTTTAGTGCGCGGCTTAAAGAAGGCCAGCGCTACCCACTTAAGTGATACAATGGTAGTTGTATTGAACGGATGTAATGGATGGACTGTTAGTTTCGCGAATCATGCCCTGAAGCTAGATAAAGCTGCTGATGCGAATGCTATTGTTTCTGCACTGGCTTCCAATTTAAATGCCGAGTGTTTGAATCTCAGCGGAAATACACTTGGGATAGACGCAGCTAGACCTATCGGTATTGCTTTAGAAAAGAATCGCTTCATTAAGCGTTGTTTGTTTAACGATCTATTTACAGGTGAGGGCCCTTATTGTCTGAAAATGTATAAAATCAAAATTGTAATGTGAATATTTTAAAAAATTTCAGGTCTCAACTGTCATCTCTCACGAAGCTGCTTTTAAACAAAGTTAAAAGTCAAGAATTCCATATTTAGGTCAGACCTACTGCTAGGAACTGGTCATCTAAGTCTTTCTGTAGCCGATGTTTGCGCGCTGAATCATCTGTTTTTAAGACCGCACTTGTATGTTGTAGAATTCGATATTTATGCGAATTAGTCAGTCAGTAACAACCTACAGATCGATTTATTCCAATCGCCTATGACATTTTGTTATATTTATTTTGTGTCACCATTTTCTTGTTAAGGAATGTTAGGAGATTAAATTATTGTCTTACAATACGCAGATAAGGTAGTTATGTTTCGTGAAGGCACCGCAAAAATGTGGCCTCCTAATCGTTTCGAGCGGCAATGCAAGCATTTTTAAAGTCCAACTTTCTCCCTTTGAATGCAAAATGTAGCTCCAAAACTTTCATTCTTCAACGGCTTCACTAATAATTGTGTGTATAGTTATCGCGTCAACCAGTTTGCTTATCTTTAGAGTCTTGTCAGTACTGGTGAGTTTGTAACCAATAAAATCTCGACACAGACACAGAAAGCTCAGTCGGATTTTACCAAATTGTGACGTTGATGTGGGTCCGTATAGAAACCAAAGGACAAGTTTGTCTATGTGGATAAAACAGAGTCTAAAGATAGAGAATGTCCGTCTTTCATCTTAACAGAATTCTCCAATCAGCTCTATCCTGAACACTCCTTTCCAGTTGCTTCCAGCTGCTGTTCATTCTTTTCATGTCTGCTTCCAACTATGTACGCAGTGTGCCCTTTGGCCTTCCAAGTTTCCGTTTCCCTTCAGGATTCTAAATCGGTGCTTGCTTCGTGATGCAGTTTGGCGATTTCCTCAATGTGTGTCCTATCCACTTCCAGCGTCGTTCCCTAATTTCCTCTTCCGTTGGAAGCTGGTTTGTTCTCTCCCACAGTAGGGTTGTTGCTGATGATATCTGACCAAGACACTGAGTATCTTGTGTAGACAATTGTTTATAAATACTTATACCCTTTTGATGATGGTTGTAGTAGTTCTGAAAGTTTCATCTCCATACAGTAGAACCGTCTTGACGTTTGTATTGAGGATTCTGACTTTGATATTGGTTGACAGTTGATTTGAGTTTAATATGTTCACTGGCAGTAGCGATGAGGCCCTTGCATGCCGATCCTTTCCTTCACATCTGCATCAGATCCTTCTTGTTTATTGATGATGCTGTCCAGGTAGGTACGTGAAAGTTCCCAACCCTAGTGGAGCTTTCTCACCAAGTGTGATTTGGTTGGTGCTGTTCCAGTTGCATTTGAGGATCTTGGTTTTTCCTTTGTGCATATTAAGACCTGCTAGTGCACAGATCTCTACTACACTGATTGTCTTGACCTGCATTTGTTGGGTGTGTGTGGGATGGAAGAGCTATGTCATCTGCGGAGTCCAAATTATCTAGATGCATTCAAGTTGTCCATTGCATTGTGTGCTTCCTCTGAGATGTGGAGGTCTTCATAATCCAGCCGACCATTAGATGAAGTAGGAAGGGCGAGAGTAAGTAACCCTGTCTAACTCCGATCTTCGCTTGGAATGCATCTGTCAGCCTTACTCCATTCACGACTTTGAGGTGTTGTCCGTCGTATGGATTCCGGATGATGTCGACGATTTTCTCATCTCACTTTATAGTGTCGAAGAAGATTCCATAAGGTTCTCATATCCACACTGTCAAACGCCTTCTTATAATCAAGGAAGTTGATGTACGGTGACGAGTTCCATGCAATTGGTTGTTCAACGATGATCCGTGATGTCACGACTTAGTTTGTGCACGACTGATATAGATTTACATCCAACATGTAATACAAAGAGAATGTCACTAATGGTTTACGTGGCATTAACTAATCAAAATGGCATGGCTCGTCCATGCCGGAGTGGTCACTCTATATAACCTATTGCTTTTTGAATTGAATAAATTACTCTTCGCCGATCCTAAATGTGATCTTCAGAAGTGCTTAACGTCATATTTTCACGATAGGACTCTTCAGTGTAGAATATGATGTGACCTCCATGTAAGGTATTGTGGCTTAGATAATCACATGACAAATCTGTAACTTGGAACCTGTTGCTGAGACCTATCTTGAATTCGTTGATTTTGTCAGTATCTCTAAGGAAAATCGTGCTGAACATTTGTAATATTGTTTCTCTAGTTGTACAGTGTTTCTTTAGTTTCAGTTCCATCTTGGCCACAACCAGGTGGTGATCTGAAGCTATGTCAGCTCCTCTCTTTATTCTCACGTCCTCCATTGACCTTCTGAATTTTTTTAGTGATGCGAATATGATCGACCTGGTTCTGTGTAGTGTGATCCAGTGAGACCCACGTAGCTTTGTGTATGTTAGTGGCGGAGTGTAGTAATGCCACCTATCACCATTTTGTTGAATACACATGAATTTACAAATCTGTCAGCATTCTCGTTCCTTTCTCCCAGTCGGTCAATGTCGTGCCATGATAGCTTCATACTCGGTGTTGTCCATTCCGACGTCGGCATCTAGGTCTCCCCATCAGGATGGTCAGGTCCCTTCCTGAACATTTCGCTATGATCAATTTCAGCCTCTCATAAAACTGATCTTTATCGTCTTCATTGCTATTATTGGTGGGTGCATAGCACTGGATGACATTGTGATTCCCTCCTTCTTTGTCTTAAAGGATGCTCTGACGATTCTGGATTCATGAGATTCGCATCCCGTAAGTGATCTTTGTGCTTCTTTGAATAGTATCACTTCAACTCCTTGTGCATAGGAGACGTTTTCTTCCTCATGATTAGAGTGCAACATCATCTCTCCCGAATCTAATCTTTTCAGTGCAGCTTGGATTTAGTGGGTCTCATTTATTTCGTTCACCACCAGGTTATGTTTCCTCATTTTCCCAGCTACTTGACTGATCCTCCCAGCCTCCCACACTGTTCAGACATTCTATTTACTTATATTAATTACTCTGGTTGTTAGAAGGGATCCAAGTCTTGTGAATTCTGAGAGATGTCGAGTTTCACTATGAGGTTTCATAACTCTTTCACATGAAGATTCTTTACCTGCCGACTTGAAGTTTAAATGGTTTAAATGATTTTTTCCTGGTTAGTGTTCTTTAACAATGTTGTGAAGATTGGTGAGTCAGTGTGCTATGGTAACTTAAAGCCGAGAACATGTGAGGTACTATGCTGCATATTATTGACTGACTGATGCCAGTTTTCTACGCAAAAAATCAAACTATGGTCTTGGTCAACAAAAACTCCATACAAACTGGACCTCTCACTCTAGTTAGTGAATAGGAAAAAGAAGATTGGACAATCTTGTTCACCATATTAGAGTTGAAGTTGCAAAGGTACTGCTTAGTCCACGAACGTATCACTAATACTCAAGTAATCCCTGTTTTACCAGTCGCTTTTTTGGCAAGATTCTCTTAAATTTTAATTAATAAGTAGTAAATTCTTGAAAAATAATTACATCAAAAGCAACAGCTCTCCACTCACCGTTTATTACCTCCAAGTCAAAAAACAGGAAAGTTGATATAGATGGGAAATTGTACCAAATTCTCAAGTCACTATCTATCAACCGAGGTTAAAACCACATTCTTGTGTTCAACGACTATAAGTATCACTAATTAGTATTGTTGACTATGTGTGGCACATATATATTTGGTGCCCCCTTGTACCAATATTTATGTGTTCAGGTAAATAATTAATAAATAAATAATAATTGTAGACTATTTCTTGTGACCAACAACTAATTCCAGTGGAAATATAGTGAATATATTTAAATACGTAGTAATTATGACATCCGTATATCTTAACAAATTTTAAAAGTAACTTTCGTTACAGTTCTCCATGTAAATATCACTATTACCATTCATTTTGACAATTTTAAATAAATATAACGTTGTATATTTTGTTTATGATATAAGTAACATGTTTTTTTGTACGTAATCAATAGAAAATTTAATCTCCAACATGTAACCACTCTGAGTCTCTTTTTAAAAGAATAAACAACTTTTATTATTTAAGGTTTCTCCTAATAATTATTATAACAAATTGAACCAAATTATCAATGAATAAAAACAAGTTTAAGCATAGCGCTTTTGTTATTTGTTGCGAAAATTAGACAGACATCAACAAGGAGCCCGGTACACATCTACGTTGACCCGAGTTGCCATATCACAATAGCACGTCGAGATGGAAATAACCTTTAGTTTACTAATTCAAACTCTTGTTCCACAGCCGTTAGTAAAACAAAGGGGGTTGCTGCGCGGTATACGTCCTTCGTGTGGAAGACGACCATCTTGTGAAAATAACTGTGTGTAGGATAATCCCCACATATTGTAGTGTATTTGTGAGTTAATCTGTACCATGGTTTGATTACTTTATGTGTGATATTTTGGATACAAATTCCAGGTTAGTAAGATAATGAAACATTCCTTCTCATTTTGCCTAATAGTATTCAGCACAAAGCACTTTAACTGCTCATCATTGCCTATAGGTGAATAAATATTTTCGAATGGTTCGATTTTTTAACGTGGTTAGTTATTTATTATGACGTGCACAGCTGTTGTTGATTTAGTCGGTAGATCTCCAATCTCGTCAAGCACATATTAAGGTCCTCTTATATAGTATAGGTTCCCTTCAACACGAATTAGGATTTTACGAGATAACTCTTCAAAATAGAATTTATCCCAACTCCTGTAGTCAGTATTGCTTTGGAATAAATGAAAATTCAGTTTTCTTCCTGTATGATGTCCTTATATGCAATCTTTCTTTATATATTAGTACCTTTGAAGTAACTACTATGAATTTGGTGGTCATCTTATTGTGCTAATGAGGTGTGGGAACGTGGATCGATGTGTATATGTACCTGATCCTACGTTATAACTGATTGATTGATTTACTGTTTTTGAAGTGATTTTTAATTCAATAAGAAAGATTGGTTAGGCAGTTATTATTATTTATTATTTATTTGAACATAAATATTGGTACAAGAGGGCACCAAATATATATGCGCCACACCATATTTGTGTGTGTGTGTGGGGGGGCTGTGATACTGCCCGGGTGCCCAGACTGAAGCAGATGGTTTTCTTAGGGGGCCACACCCCAAGCCTTTGACCTAAAGGTCTGATCCACAAGGCAGTGGAGCATCGTGAGGAGATGCAGTCCCATGGTAGCCGGTGATCAACGATTGGTTTATACGCCATTTGTTCCCGCAGGATACTGGAGCCCATGTGCACTATTGGTTTGGGATCCAGTTAAAGCGCCGGACATTCGCTTCGCTTTTCGTCCTCTCATTTTCGTAAACAACAGTAGTGCCACGAGAAGGCAGTGAGTAGGACTTCTCTGGCAGAGGCTGTATACGCGTGGCCATGTGAGAGCATTTTGAGAGGGAGGGAGGGCCCACCCCGCTCTCGGCAATACCAGGGCATTTGGAGGCCGTATTGTTCTGCAATTCTTTTTACTTCTATTGTATCTTGACGTTGTTGTTAAACTAAAGTTTCGACTTTTCAATAAATATTAAAGCTTTGCGTTATAGGACATTCATTAATGACCATTAGAAAGTCAATTGTAATACAAGATGTTTGATTTATTCTTTTTATACATCTGGAAATTCTTTAAAGCTCGTTTAAGGACATTGAAAGCACTGTATGCTGGGGTAAATGAAATCGAAAAAAATTTTTATCGACACCCTTAAAACTGTTTCGAAGTTGAGCAACGACATTAACTCTTCCTTTTAGACCTATATGCCGTACTACCGTGCATTGGTCTTTTGTTACTATGATATTGCTTGAAAAAAGTAACCTATTTATCAATTCAAGTTAATGTATTTAGATTTAACTTATATTTTGTCCACTGAAGTACTTTAACCAGTGAACTACTTTTCCTTATTGTTTAAGGGTCACTTGATGATTTAAGTACTTGGCATTGAACCAGTAAGTTGCAGCTCCGAACTCTCCATCACCTATATCGATTTCAGCATCTGAATAGTATCACTAACCGTCTAGCGTTATGTGGACACATTCTATGTTGCTTCACTCGCTTGAAAATCGGTCTTGATGAATGATTACCTAAAGAACGCCACATTATATTTTGGGGCACCCTAGTGGTATACAATCCTTACACAAATTAAAACAATCGGAAATATAGATTACCAACTACTTACGTTATAACCACTTGTTCAAAAACCTTCATTTTATGGTTTGAAATAAGCTCATTTTATATCGCTTTATTTTCATATGGTTTAGAGCATTTTACAACTTTATTATAATCTTTATGTCATTGAACAACTTATCTGTATTGGAAGTTCTCTGTCTAGACAGTTTTAGGCCATTTAGATGATTGCTTATGAAAACTCATATCCCAATCTAATTTCTGACCTGTCTATTCTAAAAGAATTTTTACAGTCAGAATTTATTTAAAGGTTTGCACCTTCATGCAGTTCAGACAATGAGTAGGTTTTGTTAAAAACATAATCTAGCTGCTGATATATACCGTGTCTCTGAAGTCGAAGGCCCAGTAAAGTACTGCAAATTCGTTCTTCATTAGTTGGTTTCAGTGTCGTGTTTCATGTTCATCTACCGTAGAACCGTGTAACCGTAATACAGCCTTTCTGAGCTAAGGTTCTACGCATTTGATCATCATTGTGTACAAAAGATTGTTCAGGTTTCTCAGCAACACGATGTATTTTTGGTGTTCTCTTAATACCAGTTCATCCATGCTGTAGACAAATGTTCTATCAGGGATGTTATGTCAAAATATCGGGTTCGAAAGTTTTGATACGCTATTCACAGAAAATCCCGGCAACTTCTATACCAAGCACTAACTGCTAACAACTAGGTTTAGAAGACAGAAACAATCAGTTTATGATACGGTTGTCAGCAGTCGAAGGACAGTTATGATAACAGACCAAGAACTTATTTCTGTAAACCTGCTCAGTTTCAGTCCCCCTTTTTCGTTGTTGTGTTTCATCGCGTTTTAAAATTCTTCCTTTCTTTTGACATATTGCAATTTATTTCTTCATGAAACTTTAAAAGTCTACTTGTATTGTGCTACATTTAGGTCGCCTTAAATCTGAAATAGCACCAGCACTAAAGTATTTGAGTAATGGTCTTATGGCTTCTAAGTCTCAAATAATTGAATTGGATCTCAGTGACAACGCTTTCGGTCCAAATGGGATTGTTGGTATAACTGATTTACTGGCGAGCAATACTTGTCACACGCTTGAGGTTAGTATTGTTTTAAAAAAGTTTTTAACTGTTGATGGTTTTATAGGTACTGCGAATGAACAACCAGGGTCTTGGGCATGAAGGATGTCGATATCTTGCAGAGGCCTTAGAAAAAGGACGATGTTTGTCAAAGAATCAAGGACTACTACTAAAAATATTTTCTGGAGGAAGAAATCGTTTAGAAAATGTCGGAGCTCAAATGCTTTCCAAGGTTTTCTGTGATATGGGGTCCTTAGAAGAGGTATTTCATAGAAAGTTGAAGTTACCTTCTTTTATAGCTTTCTCTGTATCAAAATGGAATTGGAATTCATGGGGTAGACGGTATTTTGTCATTGGTGAAAATAATCAAATCTAATCCAAATTTACGAGTGTTAAATTTGTCGGACAATTCACTTACTCCACGTGGTGCCGAAGCAATTGCACGTGCCCTACCTTCAGTAGTCAATCTAGAGGTAAATTTATTTACAAAACATGATCTTATTGTTTTCATTTTCATAAATATAAAACTGCTCTATGTAAATGTCTTAATTTAATTTGGTATGATTCTACGCAATTAATATAAATGTGATCTAGGGTCATGGAGATTGCTGCATTTGTGCTAGTCAAGACAAAGGTCTTAAAATTCTGGCAAAAAGCCATAGCTAATGGCAGAGTTTGGTTATATTGGTAGATAGTGAGACAAATAGCGATCAGATAATCTATGATTGTTTATTTGTTGTACTTTGGTACGCTCTATTCATGGTACCAGAAATTAGTGTTTACAATTAATTGGCATTCTGATTCACATCTTTAACTTTCCGTAAAAGATCAAATTGACGCATAATTCCACATGAAATGAACTTCAAATAAGTTTGAAATGTGTCTACGGTAAATTCGTTATTTATTTAAACACACAAACACTCGTACAAGGAGGCGTCAAATATGTGTGCGCCACGCTTCGTCATTCGATTTGTATGGACGCCCAAAACGAAGCAGGCGTAACCATTTATTTTGATAAATATTGACAGCACTCCGATCAGGTAGGAGTAGTACTCCAATCAATGCACTAAAGTGCCTATTTACTGTACAATATCCGCATAAGTTACTCATCACACAGTTACTGGGTCTTTGGTGTCATCCTTTAATTAAAAAAGTTCTTCGCAACTTGATACGATTATACTTGTTTCAGATATAATCAGCTAAAAAGTCAGATTCAGAGGTAAACTTCCTTGGTGATTAACTTGTTCCTTATAGCTTCAGATTTTAGTTCTATAGTCGCTGTATATTGGAAGAGTCGTGTATTGTTGGCTTGTATTCGGTTCTTATCCCTTTCCTTTTTCTAATTCTGTATTGAATACTGTTCTGGAAATAGTCTGTCGGCTAAATTAACTGACTGTCAATCTGGTAAAGCATCTTTAGCCAACCTAAGTATAACTAGTGTTCATAAGTCGGTCCTATTTCTTCGTAACTAAAACTACGTTACTATGATGCTTTTCTGACTCTTGTTTTTATAGGAACTTTATTTGAGCGATTGTATACTCCGATCAACTGGTGTAAAGGCACTTGCTTCCGCTTTTGAAGATCCTGACATCACTCCCAATTTAAGAGTTTTGAATCTAACTGGAAACGAAATCAAACTGTCTGCTGGGATTAATTTAATTCTATCCTTGGGCAATAAATCCCATTTAGAATTACTAGACTTGAATGCTAATGAATTCGGTCGCTCTGGTGTTCGATCAATAATTCAAACGCTTGATTCAGTCGGACTTTTGCACACATTACCCAATCCAAACGACAAAGAAGATTCATCAAATAAATCAGTTACAGAGGAATCCTATTTATGGGCATTTGACGAAGATCAAGGTTCAGATCAAGAGGACGAAGATGATGAAACCAACGAAGGAGAGGGGGAAGAGGATGATAATGAAAATGCAGAAGATGATGATTCTAGAAGAAGTCAATATGGAGATGATGATGATGAACGAGAAAATCATACTGATATAACTTCAGACCAAAAGGAGAGTAAGTTCACATGCCTTTTTCAAAGGAAATGTTCAGTTGTATTATTCATATCACAAATAATAGTCCAATTTATCCTAGTATAGATGTTGTTCTCTTTTTGTCATTGTTTATGTTTGAAAAAAGGACAATACAAATTTAAACCGTCTAATGGTGAGTTTCATCGGTCTTACACATACTATAACTAGTATGACGCCAGTCAGTCATAAGGAAACTAAAACTTAACAAAAGTACTGACCATTAGCTCAAATTACTACATCAATAAGATGATGAATGGTAAAGAAGTCGAAATATTGGTAATATGAATGATATTAAGACATACTAATCATAGGGAATATGACCAAATTATTAGAAAACTATTAATGTAATAAAAAGTACAAAATAATGTCGAAATTGAATTTTGTTGGAAAATAGGGAATAAATTCATTTGCACCACTTTAACAAATCTTAAGTCATATTTTAGTGAACGAGAACTCAAGTAAAGACAGTCGAATGTATTTGAACACAAAATTACGGAATCTCTTGATAAAATCTGAGAACCATATAATAAATTCTTCATTTGCAAAATATCAGTCAATCATCTCAGACTTGATTGTTTCTTCGTTTCCACACCAATCATTCAATGTTCTCGTTCTCTTTTCTCCGATCTTCTTAACCTTCTGCCGCCAGGCATTTCACTTTCGACTGATGATACATACTACTTATATCACCTATCATCTCCAATTACCACACTTGGTTTATGTTCAAACTTGTGAGTGACATGTCTGTTAATTAAGCTTTATGTAATAGTAAACATTGGGAACTTGGTTCCATTGCATAAAAAACAATTATAACTACCGTAATGCAGTTTTAATTCACGTATTGAGTTGAATTATAAATTCACGTCACCATATCAACTTATTGGTCTAAAGTTTAAGTACACTCCACCAAGCCTGAAGGTCCTGCATTTGATCTTTAATGGTGTCGTGGACGTTTACTAATGAGGAGTCCCATATTAGGATCTAAAAGCTATCCAGTGCTTCCTAACTTCCACCGGTTTTCTAACTAAAGCTAATTTGTGATGTGGAACTTTTCAAACGTTTAAGGCGTATGATTAAGTTTGAAAGATCCGAACAATATTCAAGTACTAAATAAAGCATTAGATTGTGATAGTTGTTCATCATTCTGTGCATTATCCAACGTCAAAATAAAAAATATAATGATTCATTAGATCATAGTTACAAGTCTTTCGAAATTTATATTTTTTGTTTTTAACATGAGTCAGATGGTTCCACGTTGACTATAACTGATTAACTGACATTTATTCTGTCTTATATTCTGGATTAATTTTTTGTATCAATTTTCCTTCCACAGTTGATACTGCTTTCTCTCTTCTCCTTATCTTGCTAGTCGTTTCTGTGTTTGCTAATTTTATGAAGTGTACCAATACACTTATCTGATATTATATTACCTATGCTTGGTTCCGACCAAGGTTTTCTCCTTTTACTAACCCTTACGTGGTATAAATTTATGTACTTGACTTTAAGCTATTCTAATCGTGAAGGGTGCCGATACACTACCCGGGCCACCGAACTGGCGTTGGTGGATCAGGATTTAAGCCAGTAGTTTGTTGACTGAAAGTCGAACACTAGCACCTGAGCGACCGCTCAACTATATGCTGACTGTATACACATGCATATTGTGGTAAATCCAACTTTAATTTCCTTTTGTTCTTAATAGGTTCAGGCGTTAATTTCAGTTTTCGTGAGGCATTTTCAAAAATTGGAACTATTGGTGGTGGTTGTTTAACCCCACAAAATGAAAATATCCAAATAAATAAACCTGGACCTTTTGGTAAACAATCACTTGGTTTATTTTCTGGAATTTCACCTCAAAACACTGATACAACAGATGCCGGTGTGATTCGTTCAAAACTATGGCCTTCTTCAGGTTTAGGCAATTTATTCAATTTTGGTGATAATGCAAACGCAAAAAGAAATCTATTTTCTCCACCAATTCTATCGAATAAGGCTGTTGGTCAAGTTGTTGATGAAAAGAAATTAGATGAGGATAAACTTAGACAACTTTTAAACGATGCACTTTGTAATCCAAAACAAGAAATGAGTAGAAATCGTTTGATCGGTGAGTTAGTTATTTGGTTACTATTTCATTAATTAGTATTTAGATGAGTACAAAACTCATCCAGCGCTCCTGAATTTTCATTTGGTTTCTTAGATATTTCAAAGTCTTAACGAAAAAATGTTGATAATTCAGTAGTTATAGCAGGAAATGTTTCAACAGGGATGGCTAAAACAAATCATGACTCCTTGTTTGTAGTGTGTTAAATATTTGAAATAGACGTTTGAAACTGTGAGCGGTATTAATGCTAAGCTCATCTCCTCAATAATACATTCACTGTGATTTCTTTTCAAAGTACAAGACCATTGTCTTCAGACAGAGAAAAGCAATTTAGTATTCATTACAGTTGTCTATCAATTTAAGATGCTTTACTTTATGTATTAGTAAACTGAGATAAATCTACTCAAATCTTCTTTCAATGATCTTCCTAGCCGTTACCTGGTGAAGACACACTCTATGTACCATGTATTCCGTTTTTAGTAAGTTTTTCGGGTATATCACCTACAGTTCTGATATTGTAGTGAACCAAAACTCAGGTACAGTAGACCAACTTATTGTTTCATGCAAAATTACAGTCTTTGTAAAATATGAAAATCATACATTAAGTAAATCGTTTGCATATCTTCCTTGAGTTATCCCGTGCATACTCCATCATTCTTTTAATTCTGTTGTTATTCTGATCGCTCTCTGTTTTCCTTCCCGTTCTCTTCAATTCAATCCTATGCTGGTAAGCATTCTACTTCTAATTCCTGTTATATACTACTTATTATCTATCCACATGAGATGCACACATCACAATATAATGAGGATCAAGTATGATATTCGCTATCCATTTATACAATGCTTTCGTTATGCATTTTAATATTTTGTGTTCATTTTCTGGTGTACTACTTACTCTGATCTTATGTCTTATTTTCTGATCAGATTTTACATGGTTAGTACAGTAATATAAAACAAGACTTCTGTTAATACCCATATAGTTGTAAATTTAAATCTCGTTTATTAATAATTTCGAATAAATTGAGCATTGGGTTGATTGTTATAAATAAATAAATCAATATATTTGTAATATCCCAATGAGTAGAGAATTAGCATTTCTGACGTTTCTTGACTTAGTGTAAGTCACTTCTTCAGAGAATAAATAAACAAATTAAAATTAATCTAAGTTTAAATAGTACAACGGAATAATGCAAGAATATTCTCTGAAGAAGTGACTTACACTAAGTCACGAAACGTCAGAAATGCTAATTTTCTACTCATTGGGATATTACAAATATGTTATTTTTACTCGTTTAATAATGTTTATTTTTAAAAAAACACATCGGTCTATCTGGTGATTTAATATTAAAGCGTTGAATTCATGTAAATAGGCTTTTGGATAAAGAAATTCATCTTAGATATCCGTATACAATTTAAGACAATCTAGATACAGGTAAATAAAAACTGGCTAGGTTCGTTCATATTTATTGTATTATTATGTTGAAAGTAAAAGTGTTCTAAAAGTACACAGATTTACGTTTGTTCATTCCAGATTAGTCAATTAGTTATAAGCAATGTACAACTTGTTATATTTATATATCGGTTCAATTGACCAGACCAAATCAATACGCTCAGACTAAATCATCATGAGATTTTGCCAGAGTAATAGAAGTAGTAACAGTAGTAGTGTTAGTAAAAAACACATTCAGCATAGACAATCTGATTCAAGAACAATAAATTCAAAGATTAAATTATATAAAGATTATTTTAAAATTCAAGATTTAGTTTAAAAAAACAACTGAATTCATCTATGCCCAATCTGGGCCACCTTTGGCGCCTTCGTGATGTTAGTCTGGCTGTAAAAGGCCGGATCTACAACGCGTCGGTGAGAGCAGTTTTGCTCTATGCTTGTGAAACCTGGCCTCTCCGAGTTGAGGACGTTAGTCGACTCTCTGTGTTCGATCATCGTTGTCTCCGAAGGATTGCTGACATTCAGTGGCAACACCATGTTAGTAATGCAGAGGTTCGGCATCGTGTGTTCGGGCACAGAGATGATAATGCAATTGGTGTCACCATCTTGAAACACCGACTTCGGTGGCTTGGACATGTTCTCCGAATGTCGTCCCAGAGAATTCCTCGTCGTGCATTATTTGCCGACTCTGGGATTGGTTGGAAGAAGCGGAGAGGTGGTCAGTGCATGACATGGTATCGTGGCATGAAAGAAAGCTGCAAAGGACTGGCTTGTGTTGGTCCTTCACGACTCCCTGGCTGGGGTCCGAGAGATGGTGCTACACAGTGGCTAGAGACGTTATCAGATATGGCTCAGAATAGAAGCCAGTGGCGATCCTGCTGTAACCTTCTTTTACTTTCTTCATAAAAAGTGGTTGTGTCTCCTTTACCTGAAAGATTTCTTCTGATTGTACCTCTTCGTCATTACTCTCTTTTTCTTTTGCGTTCCTTAGTTTTTTTTCTTTTTACTTCTCTTCGAATTCCCATTGTTTTGTGTGGCGCATATATATTGGCGCTCTCTTGTACCAATATTTATGTGTTCAAATAAATAAATAAATAATAATAAATGCCATTGCGAACTATTCTGAGCTATATCACGCAATGTACGATAATCATGCGGACCTCAATCAAATAATCTGCACCTACCTATATGGTTTGGTTCGATTGCCAATGACTTAATGAATTGGTTCAGTCACCCCTAGCTTCTTTACAGCCTACTTCTATGCCATTATACTTCCAAAAATAAGTTTGTGTTAACTTTTAATTCTCTATCATTGCTACTATTCCATTGACTTTTTCTATTATATCATATATATATATTCATTGTTTTCATTTTCTCAATTTTTCTAGACTTTCTTGGATCTACTGAATACTTTAAACAACCACCGATACATCCTGTTATAATGTTATGCTCACAAACAGCTTCACCAGAGAATATAGTTCGTTTAAGTTTAGCATTATCACGTAGTGTTATATGTCAAACAAATTCTGTTTCTGGTGCAATTATGCAATTGGCTATTGGTTTATTAGCTTCAGTATTTACAGATGTTTATAAAAAGAATAGAGATAATCATCGTATTAGTTGTGCAATCAATTGTCTTCTTGTTTATTTAGGTGCTATTAAACCGGAAAAAGATAGTGAAGATTGGGTGGATTGTTCATTGACGACTACTACTAATACTACTACTAATAATAATAGTAATAATAATAATAGTGTAAAACTTAATATACAGCATTATTTACGATTGACTAAAACATTGATCGATTATTTCGGACCACAATTAATACCAAGTGTATGTAATTGTTTAACGGTACTTTTATCGGAACAACGTAAAAAAGAAATGCATTCAGAATCATCTTCTAGTCATGATATTCACACATTGGATGGTATTCATTTACGTGATGATATTATTAATTCATTAGAGAAACAAATGACTTCAATGAATTTGAAGTGTTCAAAATGAAGAAGAGAAATATTTTTTATTTTTTTTTAAAAAAAAGAACAACTCAGAAAAGACAATGAAGAATTCTTCTTTATTCTTTGCATTTCTAACTAGCTTTTATATATATATATATATATATATAGATTATGTATTGAATTCAATAGAGAGATTAAGTATTATAGAGTTTAATGTGAAGAGAATAAATGAGATATAATTCCTGATTGTGTATTTACATCTACGAGAAAGAATTACAGTATAGAACATTGTAAAAAGAAATAGTGTAATACTGTACATAAAATTAAAGTTAAATAACAATTCAGTATTTGTTGTTGTTTATGCTTACTGTTATTAATATTATTATTATTTTCCTATCAATCAATCAATCAATCAATCTTCCCTCGATAAACTGTCATTGTTTCTGTAATGAATTTATGTAGTCTGAATAAATAATTGTGATTGTGTTATTCATTCTTGTTTTCCATATATTGTGTAATGAGCACAGTATGCACATATGCCAATAACAGACTGATCAATTGCATTCTTAAACCTCAATGGGAAGATACAAGCTAAACAATACAAAGTGAATTCAAATTCACCCCATTGCAAAAGCAAGTGGCTATCAGGACTCATTAGCTGAGTAGATAACACGATGGCGTTTGAAGTGAATGGTGCTGGGTTCGAGTCCCAGAGTGAACATCAACTCTCAGATGCAGGTACATCCAGGTGACGAGTCCCAAATAGGACGAAGCGCGCGTCCTGGATTCCACTGCTAGCCACTATTCATCATTGCTTACAAATAGCTTGTGAATTAAGGCAATATCGAGGCATACGCACAGTATGCACATATGCCAATGAGAGACTGATCAATTGTAGTCTTAAGCCTCAATGGGAAGATACAAGCCAAACAATACCAAGTGTATTGTGTAATGGGTTCGAAATCTCATGTTGGTTATTCTTGTTGTGATCGTCCAGTTGTCTTAGTTGACTTCTAAAACTGTTTATTTTGGTTAATTTATTTTGAATATTCCAAAGCTTATATGGCTTCAGCATAGGCTTATATATATGCGTGTTAATTTACTCACTTAACAGTAGTTGTAAAGAAGTGTGGTTGAAACCTGAACACATAAATCTGTACTTGATAAATAAAATTCAGTAGGAGGAAAATAATGACTATGTTGGTGCTATACTGACTGTAGGGACTCTATAGGGAAAACTTACCTCTTCAACTGAAAAACTAGTTGTTTTCAATGTCGCTCCGAACCAGATCAGTTTGTGATGGCTATAACTTAAACAAAACCTCTTTAAGAAAGTGGTACTTTTTATTTTTACATATGTAACACAGCCATATTAGTAAACAAACGTTTGTCAAAATGGTCCAATTTGTTTACTGATTATTATCCTAATGATTAGGAATTTCTGTTAAGAATTATGTAATTCCACCTTATTGTTTGTTACACATTGAATAACTGTTGCCCTATTCAATATTTCAATCATATTTCTGTTTGAACTCGAGTAATTAGTTTAAATGATTGAAAGTGATATTTTTTATTCAAACTCCTCCCAACATTTCAACGACTGACATATTTATGTATATGCTTCCGAAGGGGTTTTTTGGAGATTGTAGTAATTTCAATAGTTGAGACCATGAGTCAATTGAAGTTAGACCATCATGGAAAACCTGGAAGCACTGGACGGCCATTTCGTCCCATTGTGGGACTCCTCAGCAGTGCGGATCCATGACCCCGCCTCGTCAGATTTGAACCCAGGACCTATTAGTCGCGCACGCGAGCGTTTAACCACTAGACCACTGAGGCGGCCGGCATCCAACGGTGTTAATGTCTAACTTTAACTAATCCACGAAATCGAACTACACATCCACCATTGTTATCGGTGAGTTACTATCTTACAACAGACCCGGTTGAACTCCACTGCTTCCATTCACATTTCGATCAGTACTATTAATACTTATACTTAAACTAATAGCAATTATTATAATAGTAATAATACTACTACCAATATTAAAATAATAATAAATATCCCACTCCTAATATTGTATAAATGAATAGTTTACTGAAATAAAAGAAAAAAACAGTATTCATATATGTCTCCTGAAGGCTATAGAATTCACATATCAGAAATTTTATAGGTAAATTCATTGAATCAATTGAAGCTAGACCACCATAGAAAATCGGGAAGCATTGGATGGCCGTTTTTTCCTAGTATGGAACTCCTCAGCTTTAATTGATTAATGAATTCAACTATAAAAGTACTAAAATCTCCAAAAAAACCCTTCTGGCAATATTAGACATTGTTTATAATACCTTTTTCTCAAGTGACATTTTATTCATCGTTGAGTTTGCTTTCTGTAAAATCAATAATTTCTGGACAGTGTATAGAATATTTATTGCATTTTAATGATATGTGACATTAATTACAAATACAATACAGAATTGATGGATACTTTTGCAAAAGCAAACTGTTATAAATTACAATATTATAGATTCGACTTGTAATTTAAGTAGTACCGATATAATGCCTTTTTATTTATTATTGTTTAAATACATAAACATTGGTACAAGAAGGCACCAAATAGATATGCACCACATAAATCATTCGATTTGTGTGAGGGCTGGGATACTGCCCGGGTGCCGAAGCAGGTGGTCTTCTTAGGGAGTCACACCCAAAGCCTTCAACCTAAAGGTCTAATCCACAAAGCAGTGGAGAAACGTCAGGAGATGTAGTCCCATGGTAGCCGGTGAAAAATAATTGGTTCGTACGCCATTTACTCCTTTAAGATACTGGGGCCCATGTGCATGATTGGTTTGGAATCAGGGTTTTCCAACTCTCCTAGATGAACCCTCCATATCCACCAACCCTATTAAAGCGCCGGACATTCGCTTTTCGTCCTCCCAATTTCATAAACAACAGTAATGCTGCGAGAAGGCAGTGAGTAGGACTTCCCTGGCAGTAGTTGTATGCACGTGGCCATGTGAGAGCATTTCGAGAGGGAGAGCGGACTCCCCACTCTCGGTCGTACCAGGGCATTTGGGGGCTTTGGTCCTTGGTCAAATTAAAGTAGGCTGTTCCTAATTAAAGAATGTACAACAACATAGAACCAAAATCATCCACGTGAGCTACAAATCTCCACCATCTCAACATAGAACATATTTCATTAGTTAAGAATTGCTTGCAAATTAGTTCTGTGTAATTTTAACAATACTATTATTGGTTTAGATATTTTTTTACAGGAGGGCAGTCATAAATCCTTTGGACATCTAACGCTTTTCATATTTTAAACTTAAACATTTTACTCAACCATCTAATCAATTAGATTCAAGATACATATTCTATTCTTCCGCTTAATCAAAAACACATTAACATCTGAGTTGTATCTTATGTAGAATTTTGTTAAGTTGAATACCATCCAGTTCTTAAGACGCTAAAAATAGGTTCACATAAGTCTATTGTAGGTTCATGAAATGAGCTCTAAGTTGATGATAAGTTCTGTCCTGAATCCGAAATTGTTTATATGGACTTATCCTAACCCCAAGTTGAGGAAATGTCACGTTATATGGAATAGTCTTGAACATTATTTACTGCGTATAAAGGGTCTGGAAAGGAAGAATACTCGTAAGTCTTATGGATGAGCTCTATTGCAGTGTGTAGCACACTTGTCTTACTTTACTTGTATGCTAAAATCTCATTTTGAAATGATTGGATTATATAATACTTGTAGACTTACACTACAACTGAAAGGGATTGACTAAATTAAACAATCATGTGGTTAAAATTTATGTAGATATTTATACTTTGACAGAAATCCTAAGGATATAGGGATGTTTTGCATTAGACGAATGATCTTAATCAATGCTTGAATATAGAGTAAAGAGTGGAATATATGAGCCTGTAGACAAACTCCAAAGTCCATCTCCACCAAACCTATTAGTCCTCTTGCTTATCAAATGCGTGTATCCTGTACAAATTTCCACAACAAAGTCGAAATATATGCATAAATTACTGGTCATTTGATCATAAACACCTTACCATCATTCTTGTGTCATGAAGAAAGTGATTAAGTAACTTTGATATCAAGTATAAATTAGTAAGCACAAAAGATAAATTAACGGATGGGACTGTGAATCAGGGATTGAAGAACTTAATTCCCATCCACCTTGAAATATAAATATCTATAACATAAGGATATTGATGAAGATGCTCTAGGATGGTTTCTGAATGAATATTTAAGAAAACGTGAGATTAGCTCAATTAATTTGTATTCTATTGTTAACACATTATGGACACAATATACTATTACATAACCTGACTATCGCTCTTAGGAAAGCCTCTCACCCTACTAAGAATTAAATCACGTTATTATCAATTAAATTACCCAAGATAACCATGATTGATATAGTTTGGTGCCAAGTAGTAAAGATTATTAAAACTAGTAGGATATCATGCAGATATTATAGGCAGAGGTAGATGTTAGCTGACAGTGAAATCTACGACGCGCTTTTCACCCTCTTAGCGACTCATATGTTGGATGTACCTGCATCCCAGAGTTCATGTTCACTCCGGCATTTAAACCCAGTAACGTTCGCTTCAAACGCCATCGTGTTATACACTTAGATACTGTGTCAAATACGAATGAATTACCATACGGATAGTCCAAAAAAATTGATTTCGATTATTATTCATCTGGATTATTAATAAAATAAAAGATTGAAGCTGACTTTTGTCACGCATTAACACAATCCTGAGAATAATTATTCACCAGAGTGTAGCTAATATATGAGATTATTCAGTAGTGTAAATCCACAAATACACACATAACGGACCCAAGTGCAACAACTTTTAATTTATTTTAATTAAGACGATGAACCGATCAGTGTTAGACTACAATTGCAAACCTGAGTGCACTGGATGGCTATTTCGTCCCAGTAAGGGATTCATCAGCAGTACGCATCCACGATCCCACACGCGGAACTCGAACCCAGAACCTTTGGGCTCGCGTACGAATTCGTGAATTCAGTTGTTAAAACATTACAATCTCTACAAATCCCCATTCTGATAATAATCATGTGCTCGCTAGTGAATAGCTTCAAGATGGATTTCCTGGAGTTCCAGTGAGAAGCTGTGACCAGTAGAATCCAATCCGTGCTGGATGGAGATAGTTATCCACCTCAAACAATGGATGAGGGAATGTGCAAAATCATGAACCGATTAAAATTAGACATTAACATCGTTGGTGCCGGTTCAGTGTTCTAGAGGTTGAGTGTCCACGCAAGAAACTGAAGGTCCCAGGTTCAAATTCCACGTGTGGGATCGTGGATACGAACTGCTAAGGAGTCCCATACTAGGATAAAATGGTCGTTCAGTGTTTCCAAGTTTCCCACGGTGATCTAGCTTTAATCAACTCATGATATCACACTTTTCAAGGTAAAACAAATGATGATTATTGAA